AGAGACAAACAACGGGAAAACAAGGATTAAGGTTTTAAGATTGTTGCAAATAAGGTTGAGAAAAAGCAAACAATAATCCTATAAAAAAGGAAAATTATTTTTCTATGAAAACTAGAAATTTTGGGAAAGAACGAAAGGATTACGGTGTAGGTGGTTAGCATGAGTCGAGTGAAACACTCTTTCCTTAAAACCTTATTTGCTACCTCCCAAAAGTGCTAAGAGTGTTGTAGCCTAGGTTTTTCCAAGATAAAACGTACTACGGTTCAACGTTTGAGCACCCAAACGAATGAGCCCAATGAACAAGAGCAATGAGATGAACACATGAGGCTAAGAAAGGAGTAGGAGTAGAGTTTCAATAGAGAAAACAGTATAATTTCGTTGTTGTAAAAACATGTTTCCCTACCATCAACTTATATAGGAGTTGAGGAATGAATAACATTCAATGATGGCATTCAAAAGTCTAAACTGATATTAAATCAGCTTTGTAACACCTGTAACAACAGGCTAGTACTTGAGGGTTTAATTAGAAATTTAAAATTTGGAATTAATTCAAAATTAATTCTGTAACTAATGAATTAAAACTCAGAACGGTCGCTGCCAAAACTATCGAATCGTCCCAAACCGTCAACGACTCTGGTTAACTTGGCCGAGTCGAGCCAATGGCTCGTCTTTGGTTGGTCGAACCGAGCCAACGCCTCTGGTTGGCCACACGATCTGGTCGGCAAGCTAAGCCAACGCCTCTGGTTGGCCGAACGCTTTATGTTTGGAAAACTGATGTTGGTTGGAACCAAGCCAACGCCTTTGGTTGGCCGCACGATTCTGGTTGGCAAGCCTAGTCATAACTTACCTAGAGAACCCGAATCCACTTTGAACCGACCCAAATCGGAAGTGGACTACACTAATATTTGTACCACAAAATAGTTACTTATTATGTCATTTTAAACTATTTTTTCCAACAATAGGTGCCTTCACAACGCATAGCATGCATATTCTTTTACAAATTTATACAAATGGAACTAGAAATAGATTTACCTGGTGAAGGGTATGTGCGACAATCGTTATTGTATGGACCATGGTCCACACAACTTGTGTGGACCATATTTTGTATACTGTAAAATAATGTATATTCAGTATAAAAATAACGTACATTCAATACAAAAATAATGTACATTGTATTCAGGGGATGTACATTATTTTTGTTCTGAGTGTACATTATATTGTATAATGTACATTCAGTACAAAAATGATGTACATTTACTATATTAAAAATGTACTTTTTGTTATGGTCCACATAACATTGTGTGGACCATGGTCCACACAATAATTTGCCTATGTGCAACTCCCACTTGCAAGTGCACCTCTCAAACCACTCAGACCTTGCATTTTGCTTGCCAATCGAACCAGCCAGACCAACGCATAGCCTTTCTATATTAGATCGATTTGTGAAGTGGAAACGTGAGCAGCCTGGACAACAATGTGAAATTCTATCACTATCCTCGAATTAAACAAACTTCTGACAGCTAAACAAACGGAGCATTAGATTGATAAAATTTTCAAAGTTGAAGACTTAATTAGGCGCAAAAAAAAAAAAAAAAAAAAAAAAAAAAAAAAGTCGAGAACCAAGTTGGTAACTTAGCTAAAGTCAATGAAGCATTTCGTAATTAACTCTATAGTAAATAACAAATTAAAAAAATAACAAATTAAATAAGGATAAAATTGACATTACCTAATTTTTCCATCATAATATATCCTTACAATACAAGGAGAATATATCATTTTCAGAAATAATATTACCAAAAAAATTAATAACAAATTGATGAAATAGATCTATTATCATGAATGATATACCATTCCTAACCTCTGTGAAGTAAACATGCGGCAAGAGAATAGACTAAAAATGTTTTCCTAATAAACATAACGCATAGTTCTCAAAAAAATAATAATAATGAATAAACACAATACATATATCTAAATTCGGAGCGTAATGATGTTCTGGTGTCGTGGTGTAGTTGGTTATCACGTCAGTCTAACACACTGAAGGTCTCCGGTTCGAGTCCGGGCGAGGTCATTCTTTACGATCGCATTTTATCACTTTCATTTAAAGAGATTTTTATTGAAAATTACGGAGAAAATATTGATTTGATTTAAAAAGGGCCCAACCAGGATCGAACTGGTGACCTCTTGATCTGCAGTCAAATGCTCTACCACTGAGCTATAGACCCCATTTGATCTTCAAGTTCACACTAAAAGTTCTTATTCTAAGTTTGTCAAATTCACACTAAAACATCTTATCCCAAGTTTTTAATTTAGGAGTTAAAATACCTCTGACATCCTTATACTATAGTGTTTTGTTTAATTTAATCATTTTATCTTAATTTTGTTCAATATAGTCCCTGTACTTTTAAAAGTAAAACAATTAAAGATAATAGTTTATATTTATGTATTTATTTTGAACATATTAATGTAATATATTTGTGGTAAAAATAATTAAGTTTAAATATTTATAAAACAATATATGAGTTGGTATGTAAGTATGATGACGTGACAGATATAATGTCAGCGCCACGCCGCGCCGCCACATCAACTATTATCATTAATTGTTTCGCTTTTAAAAGTACAAGAACTAAATTGAACAAAATTAAAGTAAAATAACTAAATTTAACAAAACATTATAGTACAGAGACCTCATAAATACTTTGACCTAATTTAGGCTATCATATTAACACATGGTGCGGATTAAATAAGCATACAATGAAAATGATAATATTGTTGAAAGTTGAAACTAATGCACATAAGTTTTTTTTTTTTTTGTCAAAAAATAAAAATGAAATGAGACATAAGTTTTATAGCAGTAGAAATTCAGAGGATATAATGATAATATTGGTATACACAAAACACGCATAAAACTCTGTTGGAAAACATTCAAAAAAATGTTTGTCCTACATTGCTTTCTAAAAGGTATTTCATCTTTTAAGTAGGAACACTTCTAGGAGAGTTTAAAATGTTATCGAAGGAAAATAAAGGGAAACCACACGCCGCTTATGGCTCGGTTCGATTCGTATGCGAGGTGTGGTGTGACAACATTTTATTTGTCCTCCTTTATTTTTCAAAATTTTTGACATTTCCTATCCATAATAGTTTATGCGGTCAGACTAATTCATAATAATTTTTCGTGCTCAATCTTTAAGTTTGTTCCGTTTCTTGCATTCCGTTTTATGAACACACAATTCATTCTTCACACGTAGCTTCTTCTCCTCTTCTCCTCTCATCCATCTAAGCACTTAGTTAGCTAAGTTCTACATGTGTGTTAACTGTGTGCTAGTTAATCACAGTTTATTTGTGTTACATCAGAAGCATACTGAGTTTAAAGGCAATATAGTCTTTGAAAATCACTTTAAAGACCTTGTTACATACACAACACATATTTCCTTTCCTTTGTTGTTTTGAGCCAACATATATTAACATAGTTCTACTATGACATTTTTCTTTCAAATTCCAACAACCCCCATACAACCCACCACACCCACTATATGTGTGGAAGAGTTCAGGTGCGGGAATGAGTTCCCATGCGATTCTACAATCAACTAATATTATTAATTAATAAAAGTCACTAACCAAATCAGCTAACTAACTATTTATGAAACACTCCATAATATTTTTCTATACATCAGTAATTATTGAATTTTCATTAAAATATAAAATTTTTACATGTAATAATTTTTAATAAAAATATCACTAAAAACATAAATTCTATCATTTTTGGAAGGCTGAGCAACGGCTCGCAGTCAGTGTAAATTGTAAAACCCCCAACCCCAAAATCAGAAGTGCTGGAAATCAGGTCAGTTACTTCACTTGCAAATTTTCTTTCTAAATTTTAGTTTGATGATTTCCTATTTGAATTCCTCTTGAAATTAAATCCTTGAAGCTCTCCAGCTTCTATGGGGTTTCCATGAGTGTATAACTATATGCTTCTCCAGAGTTGAGATTATGTTCCCACCTTGCATCTTGCAAGACAACTATGGTAGGATTTTACAACATAGCATCTGATTAATAGCATTATAGGTCTAAGAAAAGTTTCAGGGCAATAAATTAGAAACTTAAAAGCATTCTACATAAAGCTGCCCACCACTTAGTAAATCATGCTTTGTGACCCTAATCGGCAAAAGATCACAATGGGCTAAACTAGTTTAAATTGTCCATAACTGACTGACTCAAATTAAGAAGACCAATAGGCCGCTCGTGCAGTGCAGTAGGAGGCGAACTTGTAACCTTGTAGTTAGCATGTCAACTGATTAACTTGGCTAGGGTTGCCCCTCTTGCATGACATATTGATATGAGAAGTTGGTGGCTTTTGTGCTTTGGGTCCAACATTTTGAGAATCATTCTATGTGTTGTAGTCCATGCGGCCTTGTATGATGCATTGAGAATGTTCTAAGTGTTCTAAATTCTAAAATTTTGAAGATTTCCCTCTCTTTTGTTCAATGTTTAGGAAAGTGAAATCCTTATGTTATTTTTTCTGTGTAACTTATATAGGCAGAGGCAGGGGTAAATAACTAAATACTCTGGCTGCTGCAAATGTACATCTCTTTCTGTTCATTTCAGTAAAAGCTGAATGACAATGTTGGCAATATGATTTTGTGGGGCATCCGAGCAGAAACTTGGTTTTAATGCTTTAGTCTTAGCTAGCTAAATGTCTTGTCCCACAATGGCCTAGCTTCTGTTTCTCAACTCTCAGTTCCCGGTTATATTCACATTTCATGTCTACATTTGTCATATAAAGGAGGCTAATTAAGATCATCCATAAAAGTTGAACTGAAAGTTTGCTGCAATTGGTTCGAAGTGGCTAAAATGCTCTGATGGAGCTTTAAGAGACAATAGAATTGTTCATTTGGTATATCAAATTGGTAAATGATGCCTTGAGATTCTGTATAAGAACAAGGGGCACAAAGTTTTGGTTGTATAAAGTTGTATAAAAGGAATTATTACTATTTAGCATTTACTGTTGAAGGCCAATGTAAAGTGAACCTTGAAATTTATTCCAATTTTTTTAATTTTTTTTGCAGATACAATACCCCAGAGATGAAGTTGTTCTATCTAGTACATATTTCAAACCTCTAACAAACACATTTTGTCCATAAACAAGCTCATCTATCACTTCAAGGCCTTGATGGTGGGTGTTGATTTCCAATCGGATTCGGTCCAGATGGTTTCTTATGGATCTTCATCTCTTTCCCCTGTGAATCATGGTTTTATTTTTTTATTAAAAGAAAAAAGAGATCAGTTTATCTTACTGAAGCAGATAGGAAATGAGGTATATACTTACTGAAGCAGCACGAAAGTATCCATTTGTGTTCCCGAGCTTGTTGTTTGGATGGCTGCTCTTGAAATTGGCTGTGACAGAATTACAGCAGGTAATCACCATTGTAACCAAGTTAAACAACCCCAACACACACACACTCTCACACAGATAAAGAAAAAAGAAGGGCAACCCCAATCAAGTTGACCGGGCTGTTGGCTTGGTAATCAAAATGTTACAAGTTTGACTCCCAGTGGGAGCGGCTTATTGGCTTTCTTGGTTTGAGCCAATCAACTATAGACCGTCTAGGCTGGTTTATCTCTTTGTGATCCTTTGCCGGCTAGAAGCCTAGAATCACAATGCGGGATTTACCCAGTGCACAGTCTTGGGTAGTGGTTGTGGGTTTCCCTCGTCACCAAAAAAAAAAAAAAAAGGAGCGGCCTATTGACTTTCTTGGTTTGAGCCAATCAACTATGGACAATTTAGGTTGGTTTATCTCTTTGTGATTCTTTGCCGGCTAGAAGCCTAGAATCACAATGCGGGGTTTACCCGGTGCACAGGCTTGGGTAGTGACTGTGAGTTTCCCTCGTCACCAAAAAAAAAAAAAGGAGCAGCCTATTAGCTTTCTTGGTTTGAGCCAATCAACTATGGACAGTCTGGGCTGGTTTATCTCTTTGTGATCCTTTGCCGGCTAGAAGCCTAGAATCACAATGCGGGGTTTACCCAGTGCACAGCCTTGGGTAGTGGCTGTGGGTTTCCCTCGTCACCAAAAAAAAAAAAGAAGGGTGTAGTTGTAGCTTGCCTGAATGTATTGGTTGAGCAGTGGTAAGGAGGCTATAATAGTGCAGAAGTGCAGCAAAAGAAAGCCATACAAAAAGCAGAGGTAGTAGCTGTTGTGCTCTCTTCATCTTAAGCATGAGCATATATGTTGGATGGAGAGTGGTTATTGTAAAAGTAGGGGGGCATCTTTCATGTAATGAAAGGGGGAATTGGTAATCATGAATGATGTTGAAAATTGTTGAATGTTTGCTAAAGTTGCTGGGCATCCTATGAAGGAATGTGTGTTTATCTTCATTGTGAGTTGACTTCTACCTCTACTATCATTGTGTCCATGATACATTGCAGCCAAGCATTATTGTCTTTGGCATAACCTTAAAGGTCTGCATACTGCATCTTTGTTTTTATGTGCAAGTCTCATCACATGTTCTCCCCGTCGGAATTTACTTTTAGTACTCCCTCCGTCCCATTTTATGTGTCTGGTTCAGTTAACGAGGCTTGACTGAGGTTATTTTTAATTCAATTTTTCATAATATTACGTTTAGTATTAGTATACAAAATTTATATATTTAGAAACTACATTAAAAGTAAAACACAAAAATCAAATTTAAAATAAATAAATAATACAAAAGAAAATAAACAAAAATGAAATAATTGGTTTGACCAATAAATAGTAAGTAGGACAGATAAAATGAAACGGAGGGAACATTATTTTTATACATTAGGTATCTCAACCTATGTTAGACTAATTCTAATCCTCCAAAATTCCTACCCAAGAGCCAGTGGAAGAAGTAAATAATGAATTGTCTTGACAGTCCGTCCCTATGTTCTCACCTTTGCTTGTACATATCACCTAAGTGTCCCTTGGTATCTCCTTTTCCTGACTAGCCTTTCCAAACCTCTTAACCTTTGCACATAAAGGGTGTTGAGTTGGTAAGGCTAATATGAACCTAGGCACTAAGATGCCTACTAGAGCTATCTTTATTCTTGTAATACTATTTCACTTTTAAAAGTAAATTTACTCTTACATTACTAAATTTACAAGTCTTTTACTATTTTCTTTGCATCTATGTAACTTTCTTATTTTTAAAAGTTGACCCACTTTGAAATAATATTATAATAAAATAAAATAAAATAATATATATAAAAGTTAACCCACTTTGAAATAATATTATAATAAAATAAAATAAAATAATATATATATATATATATATATATATATATATATATATATATATATAAACAATAGAGGACAAAAGGTTGCCAATTTTGAAGCCTAGCTGGCTCCCTAAACCCTTTTATTTTTTTTATTTATTTTTTTTATAAAAGTCATGTCATCTTGAAAGGGAAAAAATTGATGGGATAAATTCAACTTAACAGCATCCTCATTTGTTAGGTTTTTAACACAAATTTTTAAGTGACAACTAGAAGGGAAGCAAAAAAAAAAAAAAAAAAAAAAAAAAACAAACAAACAAAAAAAAAAAAAAAACAAAACACAACAAAACAAAACAAACAAACAAAAAAAAAGGTTGTCAAAAAACAAAAAAAAAAAAAAAAAAAAGTAGTTGTTAACGTGACCGGCTGGGCGTATCTGTGCACTTCACGCGAAGTTGGCAGTGATTTTTTTTTTTTTGGTGGGGCCACTCAAGGAGACAAAAACCTTGATCTTCTGTAAGAACTCTAATTATTCTCTCTCCTAACACTTTCTCCTCCTATGCATTATTTCCTCAAAAATCACCAAGATACATTGATGTGGATGCTCTAAGTATACGTTTGATTCAAATCTTATATATTGGTCTAAATTTTGGTCGGTAATTGAAGTGGTATGCATCACGGCAAGCTAGGGTAAATGGATAAAATGACTAAATGAGAATAGAGTGGATGGAAGCTAATGTTGAGCAACCTACCTAATTACACCAGTAGTGTTAAGCATATGTAGTAATTAATCCTCTTTATGACATTTAAGAAAAATGATTTACATCACTGCTATTAATACCCATTGATTATTTTGTTGAATTGATAAGTCGTGAAATCTCTTGACATGAAATTAAGATTTTCAAAAGGTAAATGTCAACAAAGAATAATCTTTGGCAATGAATTAAACTAGTGAAAGTGAGTTTGTGACGTACTTTACGATAGTAAATATAACATTTTAGCATGCGCTTACAGATATGTTGACATTAGGTTAGGGGGACAAAGGGTGAATTTTTTATATGGAGCAATAGGAAATATATTCAAATTCCAGTTCAAAAGGAATAATAGTATATACAAGATTTATTGCATTTATATGATGGTTTGTTAAGTAGACATATTAGACATTTTTTAAAGAGTAAATATCACTTTTGGTCCCTTGACTATCATTGGTGAAGTACTTTTGGTCTTTGACTATTGCTTTTTTTCAAATTAGGTGCATGACTTTCTAACAAGTATCACTTTTGGTCTTCCGGTCTAATTTTTCGACCACATATTACCGAAATTTCAACCAGAAAAATAATATGTTATAATTAGAAGGATATTTTGATCCTTTCAAATTTATTTCATTTTTCTCTTTTATTTTTTTTTTTCTTCTTCATGCTTTCTTCATCCGCTCTCCGTTTAGTTCAGGTGAATTACTTCCTACATTTTTCCTTGGTTTCTTTAATACTCAAAATTTGCAGAACATAGCACTGAATTTGACATTCTATTTCATTTGTTTTGTTACAGAAACCAAGGAAAAAGGTAGGAAGTAATTCACGTGTACTAAATGGAGAGCTGATGAAGAAAGCGGGAAGAAGAAAAAAAATAAAACAGAAAAATGAAATAAATTTAAAAAGACCAAAATACCCTTCTAATTATAACATATTATTTTTTCGATTGGAATTCTGGTAATATGTGGTCCAAAAAATTAGACCGGAGGATCAAAAGTGATACTTGTTAGAAAGTCATGCACCTAATTTAAAAAAAGCAATAATCAAGAACCAAAAGTGTTTAATCTATGATAATCAAGGGACCAAAAGTGACATTTACTCTTTTTTAAATAAGTAAATTAAAAAGGAATGTGTGTCAAACAATAATTTTTCGTTTGCAATGTTATACCTATATACTTGCATGAAGAAGTTAAAGCAATGGTGCACTGGCAAAATGCAAATTAAACTAATTGTGGCTGCTGGGATTCGAGCCCAGGTCTCCACGGCCACAACGTGGAATTCTTACCACTAAACCACAGCCACTGGTGTGGACAATTCACAACTTTTATATGTAAGTCCTATAGATATGTTTAGGAAGTTCTGCAACTCTCTTTCTCTTTAGCGTCTAAAAAAATATTCGTGGTTGACTTTTTCATTTCACAATTTTCTCTATTTGTATTATGTATTATCTATGATGTGATTGATACTTTATATTTGTTTATAATACTTAGGGAAAGGTATGAGCTAATTCAAGATGTCATTGTGTGTTTGGAGAAGGTATACAGAGGTTGAGACGGGTCTAGTACAAGTATTGACTCAAGTGTACAATAAAATTGATCTTAAAACAATGATAGTGACATATTGTTCAAGTTTATAGGGAAGACTAGTTATAATTCGTGAATTGCGCGATTAAATTAATGCCAAACACGAAAATTAAAATAAGTTAATACTTAATACAATTTTAAAATATTAAATAATTAATATAAAATAAAAATGATTATTTTCAATATAATCAAAATGTGTATTTTTCAACTTGTAATAAAAGTAGTAGTAAAGAAGAGTATTGTTGTAGAATGTAGATAGTTATAATCAAGAATAAAAATGATATCTTAACAATTTTCATATTAAAATAAATTAACTCTTCAAAATGCTCATCATCGATGTTATTGTTATTAAAATGTTAGAAAATATTTTGTAATGAGTAAGTTAAGAATAATAAATACTTAACGCGAGGATAAACATTCAAAGAAATGTCTTATTATTACAATGAAAATGTACAAGTTATCAATTTACATTATTACACCAACATAACTTTTATTCTCTTACTATATTTATTTTTGTTGAACGATAAACATGTGGCCTCAGCAGGTGGTGACAGTTCAATAAGAGAGGTCAAGTTTGTTAAAGAGTAGTTAGAATATATAGTCTTCTTCCTCGTTGTATTCAAGCACTGTTCCACATTCTCAGCTGTAAGAACTCTCTCCAGAAAGTTCAATAACACAAGCATTCTATTCTGTTTTTCACCTAAATATGTTATAGCTTAGTCTCCTACAACTATTACATATATTTATAGAGTTAATACTCAAAATTGTCCCCGATTATAGTGATTTTTCTCAATTTCATCCTAAACGACTTTGGTGACCTAATATAGTCCCAGACTTTTGTGTTTCGCTCAATTTAGTCCTCCGTTTGTTATTCCGTCAAATTGGTGTTAAATAAATGGACAATTCAATAATATCAATATTGACATCTCTTTACTTTCAACCTGCGAAGTGAGAAATCCTTCTTTCTTGCACGAATTACACCCAGACTTACGAATCAAATTTTATATTCGCAGGTTTTGGAGTGATTCTGGGAGTAATTCGTAAGAAAAAGAGGGATTTCGCACTTCACATGTCTATGAGTAAAGAGATGTCAATATTAAAATTACTGAATTGTCTATTTATTTAACAACAAATGAACGGAATAACAAATGGGGGACTAAATTGAACAAAAATACAAAAGTCTGAGACTAAATTAAGTAAAAACACAAAACTCTGGGACTACATTAAGTCACCAAAGTCGTTTAGGACAAAATTGAGAAAAACCACTATAGTCGAGGACGATTTTGGGTATTAACTCTATATTTATATTATAGTTAGTAGGAAAAGTGCAATCTTGAATCCTGATAGTTTGTGTTGATGTTTGCCTATTTAATTATGGTGTAATCAGCTACAGTATAGGAGATCAGTTACAATGTAACTAGGGAATGGAAATGACAATAACCATAACTATGAAGGCAATATATATTGTTTTTGGTAATAAACATATTTATTCTCTAGCATCCTTTAACTTTCTTTACTTACATTACTATTTAGTATTTATATTTGAAATTTATCATTGGAATGTCTTAATCTTGGAATTCAAATTTCATCAATATACATCGTTTACAGTTAAAATTTAAAGGCTATGAGCAATACAATTCAGATTGAAGATGTATGGGAAAATGACACTTTTTCTCCCTTAGTTATATACTTATAGCACTTTTTTCCCTTCAATTATTTATGTAAACACATTAGCCCCCTCAATTATTTTAAAAGTAGTGGTTTTTCCCCCCTGATATATTAAATTAACATTTCTACCCTTAAAGTAAACATTTTATTTATTTTACTTCTCCAACAAATTATTGTGTATAT